TTTATTATACAGGATGATATATAAGATATCATACAGGACAATATCTTATATTTTACATGGGATTTTATTAATTATATTACATACTGTATGTATAATTATTCACATTTATTTCATAAAAAAGGTTGTTATTTTATTATCATTATTATTAATTATTAATAGAATTTTAAACAGCATTTTCATAGTGTTTTGCTCAACATTTTGCACAGAATGGCTGTGAACACTGAAATAAACAGCTTGAGACGTGTCACCAGGCTTAGTTCTTTCAGACGTTCATTGGATACTCCGAGCACCACACACGCCTCCAACAGACCAGACGAGACGTTTTCTGCCATCAGAACCGGTTCTGCTGAGCTCTGGTCTTGATGGTCTTCCAGCCACTCACATACACTAGTCTTCAGTCTTCGGTCCCATTGTGGTTCTTCAGCTTCCTGTAGGTCTGTTGAAATGGTTACTAAGACTTCAGTTTATGCCACACCAAACATTTTTAGTAGCACTGACTGTAAAAGCAAACGCTATTACTATTGCTTATGGTTAGTCATGCGACATCTAGAGACCAGAATATCACAGAGACTTAAAAAAACACCTATTGAGATTAGGGATATGAAAATTTTGGCCGATACCGATAACCGATTACTCTTTATTTTTGAAAGCCGATAACCGATATGTTGGCCGATAAATCTATATCCAAATTGTTATATACTTTTTGAGAGCCTGATTACAAAAAAGGTCTCATCATTAAAAGCCACATCCCAAACACTTCAACATAAGCAGCCTAGTTTGAACGGTGTACGTTTTAAAAATATTTTTACTCTCCCATTACCAAATTTAGTCATAAAAAAGTCTTACAAATAAATAAAATAATGCATAAATAATGCAAACAAGTCACTGGACATCATTACACGTGTAAAGAATCAAAATGATGTGTAAGAAGCTTGCAGCTATAAGAATAATTTATATTTAAAGATGCACGCAAGCAAAAAGGGAAGTTTGCACAGTATGTGGTACAAAAACTGTGTCACCCATAAAAGCATCACTACGCGAGACGTATAGAGAACATGTGTTTCACAATCAAAAGTTAATGATCCAGCGTCTCCCATCTGAGTCAAGTGGCTGATTTACATGTTATCATAGATTAATGTGTCATCATTCACAAAACTTTGTCAGATCTTAAAGAAAAAACAGCCCTGCCGAGACAAAAGCTGCAAATATTTACCCTTCCTTACTTATAAAATATGTACTCTAGAAAAGGAGTCTTCAAACTGGAGTCTGTGGAAAAGTTTAGAGAAAAACAGTGACAAATGTAAAAAATAAATATATAATAAAACATAAGATTTAAATATATATATATATTGCTAGGGTTGCAAAAAGGTGGACAATTTCCAGTAAATTTCGGCAATATTCCAAAATTTTGTAAACTTTCCAGGATTTTTGGGAATATTCCAGGGATTTTTGGAAAGTTTCCGGAAATGTTCCACCCCTTCCAACCCTATATATTACATCTAACAGTACAGTGCTAATAACAGTGTTATTTTTAACATTACAGTTTTCATTAATAGTCTGAATTAGTTTTTATTTTTATATATTCTGATATTATTATTATTTGTATACTACTTATTATTATTTATTCATAAATAGTTTTTTAATGTCTATGTAGTTTTTATTATTTTAATTTTATTTATTTATAGTTATTTTAGTGCATAAAGTAAATGAAAATGACAAATATGTCCATGGCAACTAGCTGAATTCAAATCTGTTTAAGGTTTTTTATATTTGATTTGATTAAAATATGGTTTTAGTTTTAGTTAACTATAACAGCCTTGAATAAATAAATGAAAAGGCTAAAATAAATAAATAAATGAAAAAGCTAAAATAAATAAATAAAACATCTTACAGTTTAAATTGGGTCTTTATACACCAAAATAAATAGCTGACTTAAATTTCAGGATGGGGGTCCCTCACATGAAGATGGTGATATTTATGACCCTGCAGCACAAAAGCAGTCTTAAGTCGCTGGGGTATATTTGTAGCAATAGCCAAAAATACATTGTATGGGTCAAAATTATAGAATTTTCTTTTATGCCAAAAATCATTAGGATATTAAGTAAAGATCATGTTCTATGAAGATATTTTGTAAATTTCCTACCATAAATATATCAAAACTTCATTTTTTATTTATAATATGCATTGCTAAGAACTTCATTTGGACGACTTTAAAGATGATTTTCTCAATATTTTGATTTTTTTGCACCCTCAGATTCCAGATTTTCAAATAGTTGTATCTCGGCCCAATATTGCCCTATCCTAACAAACCATACATCAATGGAAAGCTTATTTATTCAGTTTTCAGGTGACCTAACAAATTGAACATGCTACATGTTAAAGTCAATGTCAAACTGAATTTGCAAACAATGTAGGCTATTCAACAATGTGAAGTATTTGTGAGTGAAACAGGATATCAAGAAGATTTTCTCCACTTAAGTGAATGTTTTCAAATTTGCAT